CTGATGCAGGAAATGCCACTTAAAAATTATCTATCTATCTATCTATCTATCTATCTATCTATCTATCTATATCTCCGAAGTATTTCATTAATTGAATCATGGCACCAATAGAAGATTCCCCTTACCCCCAAAGCAAATGGCCCACTTACTGTAGCCAGTGGGCATTGTAGGCTAACCAAGGAGGGTGTAAGTTCAGTTTCACCCACCTCCATATAACTCCTGGATAGGGATGGGAAAATCTGTCAATTTTGGTTTCTCCCAGTTTCTCATTTTTCCAACCATAAGTTTACTTCTCCACATTTCTGCATAATTTTGCATCTTTCTTTCTTTTTTAAAAAAGAAGTCTTCATGAAAATGCACCAGCATTCCAGCACACATTTTCCCCAATATATACATTTTAATGCTTTTTTTTTTTGCCTAACAGATATATTTATTGCAAACAACTTCCTCAGTGTAATGCATTTTTGTACATTATTCTCACCAATATTTGTATTTCTAATGCATGTTTAACCTTTTTGTACACATTACTTGGCTGGAGAACTGGACTGCCAAATTCAGGGGAATTTTCTTTTTTGGGGGGGCAGTTTCAATTCACATCTTATTTCAGGAGGAGTAAATTAAGTAAGTTTGCTTTTAAATATGAAGTTGAATCGACCCTTTCCCTCCAATACTCATGACGGATTATGTGGTCTGGTAGTTCTCCATGGCGGTTTTCCAGATACAGAGATGTAATCATACACTTTACATAGTTTGCACTTCTAAATATGAAAGATAACAAGACATAATATAAAAAGATGTCTGGCAAGATTTATGTTACAGGAGGCCCGCTTTGCACAACAAAGCACATTTTCTGCCTTTGTCAGTTTAAGCTTTCATTTCTTAGCAAGGCATGCCTAAGGATACAAGAAAAGCTTAATTGGGGTGTTCCCGGTGAATGCTAGTAAGAGTAATGAGATTAGATTAAAGAAAAATACATTTAAATATGGCTATCAGGAAACATTCCACAGCGGTGAGATGTGACAGATTGCATAGTGTGAACTTATGGAAAGCAGTGGAAGACTTTGGTTACTTGAGCTTCAAAAAAAAGAACCTGAGGGAGCCTTTGACTCAAATGACTTTCAGTGTGGAGGTCAGCTGCCTGCCAGAAACACTCGCAGGGGCAATTCACACATCAAGTTTCTTAGGTGTATTCCTAGGAAGAGAGGGCTAAAGATGGATGAAGTGCCTTTCCTCATACATCTTGTCCCAAGGCGTCCATAGTTTGATGGCAAAGCAACTCCAGCATTCCGTAGGGTTCTTTGTCATGCCCAATATGTGTTGGTGGCGTCTGTATACGTTCATAGGTCCTCCCTGCCGTTGCTTGCTGAGAGAAGGAAGCCTTCATGGGATTCGAAGGAGGAAAGTACCTTGCATGTCACAGCCAGGTGAGGAGGTGGACGTTTAAATACCCCTGAGGGGGACCAGAGTGGGGCCTATGTGCCTAGTCTGATCCGCCCCAGGGGAGGAGCCAGCAGAGAGGCTTGCCCACCACGGGCCAATCAGCAGGCAGCCCTCAATCCACTTCCCATTGGCCAATAAGCAGGCAGCCCACAATTAACTTCCCATTGGCCAATAAGCAGGCAGCCCACAATTAACTTCCCATTGGCCAATCAGCAGGCAGCCCACAATTAACTTCCCATTGGCCATTAAGCAGGCAGCCCTCAATCCACATTTGGGAATGTGCCAGGCTTGGGGGAAACCCCTGTCCAGGAGCCCCTCATTGGATCATGTTGCGGAGAGAGGCCCTGCCCTCTCCCTGCTGTGCTGTCGGCGCCACCACTGTGCAGGTGTTCTTATCTTGGTGTAGTGGGGGACACAAAGCTGTAGGAGAGAGGGAGGCAGTGCAGACTTTTGCCCCATATGACAAAATGTGTAGGTACAGCACACTGGGAGAAAGAAACTATGCCAGCTTCTGGGGGCTTAGTTCTGTTTGTCCCCCATGCTAGGGGCATTTCAGAAGAACAGGATCTGTAGCCACTACTGGAATGCGCCTGGAATGGCTCTTTGCTCTCTTCATTGTGAGAGTTCTTCTGTTGGACAGGAACTGGCTGTGGAAAGTTGGCGAAGGGGGCTCTCATCTGGCCTCTAATCCCCTCTCCAAGGGTGGGCCTCTTTTCTCATCCTCAGTGAGGGGGAGATGGTCCTTAGGGTGCCTTCCAGTGATGATAGGATTGAAGCCTGAGACTTTTTTTTCTTAAAGGGGTATACCTCAGAATAGGGACGCGGGTGGCGCTGTGGGTTAAACCACAGAGCCTAGGACTTGCTGATCAGAAGGTTGGTGGTTCAAATCCCTGCGACGGGGTGAGCTCCTGTTGCTCGGTCCCTGCTCCTGCCAACCTAGCAGTTTGAAAGCATGTCAAAGTGCAAGTAGATAAATAAGGAAGGTAAACGGTGTTTCCGTGCGCTGCTCTGGTTCGCCAGAAGCGGCTTAGTCATGCTGGCCACATGACCTGGAAGCTGGATGCCGGCTCCCTCGGCCAATAAAGCAAGATGAGCGCCGCAACCCCAGAGTTGGCCACGACGAGATCTAATGGTCAGGGGTCCCTTTACCTTTACCTCAGAATAAAAAAGGATACATGGTTGTCTGTTCAACATGCAAATCCCTCAGGATAAAGCATTGGGCCTGAATGTAAGGGGTACACCTGCCCCCATTGTTGAGAATTAAACTTCCAATATAGTCCCTGTGCTGGTTTCTGTTTCTTGGCCACTCTGAAGTGTGAAGGACTTTTGGGAGTCTATGATACAATATTGGGAACTGGCTTGTGTGTGTATATATAGGGTTGGGTGCTGTTGTTGCTTTTTAAAATTACATTTAAGCAAATGCAAACGTTTGAGCCGGCTTGTTGCCATTAGTACAAACTACAGTTATCCACAAAAGATCTTGCTCCTGGATTTAGTCCTATGATTCAGAATTCTTTGCTGATAGTCCCCCCCCCCCCCAAGATAAATACCAGACAGCAAAGCTCTGGTCATAAAAATTCAATATAGCTTTACGGGGCTAGGGCCATGTCCACAATAAATTTCCTTATACTGAAGCCTTGAGTGCCTGAAAATAAGCCGGTATATAGACATATCTGAAAACAGGAACAAGTCTGGGTTTTCTGCTGTGAGTTTTGCTTCTCCCTTCTTCTAACATACAATACAGTGTATTTAACTTTTTTGTTTTTTCACATGGTGCACTGCATCTTGTGACATAGTAGTACTCTAGAAAGGATTAAGGTAAAGGTAAAGGGACCCTTGACTGTTAGGTCCAGTTGCGGACGACTCTGGGGTTGCAGCACTCATCTCGCTTTATTGGCAGAGGGAGCCGGCGTACAGCTTCCAGGTCATGTGGCCAGCATGACTAAGCCGCTTCTGGTGAAACCAGAGCAGCGCACGGAAACACCGTTTACCTTCCCGCCAGAGCGGTACCTATTTATCTACTTGCACTTTGATGTGCTTTCGAACTGCTAGGTTGGCAGGAGCTGGGACCGAGCAGTGGGAGCTCACCCCATTGTGGGGATTCGAACTGCTGACCTTCTGATCGGCAAGCCCTAGGCTCTGTGGTTTAACCGTGTCCCGGATTAACCCTGCCCAATTTCAGATGGATAGCTTCAGGGGGTTCCATGCTAGCCATCTTTAATTTTGGAGATTGCCAAAACAATTTTTTTTAAAGACTGTGAGTGCTCAGCCATGCACTCCTGTGTTCGCCCTGTTCCTTCCATCAAGATTTTGAAAACATTGGAGTGTTTTTCTTTTAATTATGCTTGGGATACCAGGCTCTGGCAGTTAGCATCAGGCAGATACTTGCAGGCCACAGCATGAAGATATGCCTGTGGGACAGAGAAAAATACAGATGCAGGAGTCTTTTGAGCAGCAGATTATTAGTAATGAGAAAGTACCAGCTGCCAAACCTCTTGCTTAATACAGGAAATTTCATGCTGGAGGATCCTCAACAGATGTCTGTCAAGCCTCCGCTTGGAGACCACCAGTAAGGGAGACCCCAACCTCCAGCTTGTTGGCTCCAGTCTTAAGCTGTGTTAGAAATGCAAGGGAAGTGGCTTCATGACTGATGCAAAAGCCACCCAATCAGTGTTGGGCAGGACCCTGCTATGGGAAGATGACGGTGGCTCCATGACTGACACAAGGACTGGCCAATTGGACTTCTCCAGAACTCCATCTAGCAGAGTAGGTGGTCAAAATGTGGTAAATGCTCTTCAGTCATGGGTTTGTTGCTTTCTGCTAAATGCCTGCATATAGCTTTGAACTGCTGCTCTACCCGCTTGGTCTCTTTGGCCCAACTTGGCGTGTAATTGGATGGGTTTATTATATTCCCGAGAACATTAGGGGTGCCACCATGATAGACCCCCACAGCATGCAGGAGTTGGCTGTCTTAGCACACATACCCCAAGCAAAGCCAAGTGGTGAGCAGTTTGCAATATTTTGGAGAAGCACTGCCAAGTACAAGTTTGTGTAGGAGGATGGCTCCCGGGCAATTTATTATTTTTCCAAGGTTTGCTGACCCAATGTGACTTTTCCATATGTATCCTTTCAGGGGATTACAGCAAGCTCTTTACAGCTTGAGCAGGAAATGTTACATTGCCATCGACCCCTGTTCTCCCTCCCCACCCTCTTTTTGTTATGAAACAAATGGAAGAGGAGCGACGGAAGGGAGACCACTGAGCGACAGATGATCAGAGGCATAAAAACGCAAGCCTGACTTGCTCGATGCGACACACATCTACCCAGTATCCTGTTTGTGATGTTTGCCAGACGGAAAGGCGCTGCGAGGGAAGAGCGGAACCCTTCAAGTCCCCCACTTCCACTCTGTGTCAAAGGGACAAGCGACAAGATCTGAATCTTGCCGATAAAACTCGGAAGCTGTCATGTCGAACAAGCACTCCTTTATTCCTGCAGTGATACATTGTCTGGGATGTGACAACCGTGGAGAAGAGTTTGGGATGATGCTAGGGAGGAGAAGGGTGGTAGCTCAGCGACAGAGAATCTGCCTTGCATGCAGAACCTCCCAGGTTCAGACCCTGGCATCTCCCAATAAGGTTTGAGGATGTCCCCAGTTTGAAATCATGGAGTCAGTGTAGACAGTACTGAACTGGATAAAGGAAGATGAATTCTATTTGATTAATTGGGAAAATAGTCAGGTAAATGTCTAAACAAGAATTGGAACATGCACAGTGGATGGAAAAGTATTAGAAATCAAGAAAAAGTATTTTACTGTGAGCAGCAAAGGAGGGTGGGGAAAGAAGCATCTTGGAGGGGAGATGGAAAGTTGGTTTTTAAATCTGAATTAATTTGCTGTTAATTTGTTTAAAATTTGGAAAACTAATAAAGATTATTAGTTTCCTTCCATCATTCCTGAACACTGGCCAAGCTGGCTGTGGCTATTGGAGTTGGAGTTGAACAACATTTGGAATGCCAAAGGCACTCACATACCCATCTTAGGCTGAGAGCATTAGTGGCTTAAATTCTGTTATACTGGTATGGTAGCCAGGGCTGTAGCTATTCAGCTCATTCTAGACCATGGAATCTAGGGAACCAAGAAAGTGGCTGGCTCTATTTCCTGCCCCAAGTTGTGTTCTTTAGTTTGTGCAGCTTGCAAGGCTGCAATTGCACCTGGCTGCAATCGGAGCAATTGCACTAGGGCCCATGGCAGCCATTTTGTGTCATGCCATGCCCCGTCCATGGCAGCCATTTTGTGAGGGATGCCCCTGGCACTCTCAAAACTAAAAATGTGCCCACCTGTGGTCACACGGCAGGGCCCGACCCTATCTGCAGGTCATGCCTTTTGAATAAGAAGCTGTACTTCCTTTCTCCATATGTGTAGAGTCTGTACAGGGGTTTTTCAGCAATCGGAAAATGAACCATACACTCAAAGGCATTATTTTCTGCACAGATTCCAGGGTTCGGTCTTGACATTTAAAGTAAGTTATGATGTTCAGCCAAAAACGTTGGGGTCTGTACTCTGGCTCAAATAAAACTTTAACATCTGCACATTTAGACTTAAAAACAGTGGCATTTAAATGTGTGCTGTTACTCCCATAGCTTGTCTTCTGAGAGAGAGAGAGAGAGAGAGAGAGAGAAAGAAAGAAAGAAGGAAGGAAAGAAAGAAAGAAAGAAAGAAAGAAGCAGGTTTTAGTTTTCTAAACTGACACTGAGAATCATTATACAAAGTCTAGTTGCGTTTGTTTTGTTTTTTGTCTTTGTAAGAACACTGGCCAGAAAATATCTGCTTGTCCTCTTCTGGTATAAAACAATTTCATTTCATGCAGCAAACTTCCCTCCCCCACCTGCCGCCTTCCTGGTGGGCTGCATCCTTTCTGATAACTTGTCCTGTGATAGCAACAGGATCATCTTTACGGAAAAATAAGGAGAAGGAATGTGTTGGAGTTCACAGCGGCTATATTTCACATTGTGGTTCTGAAATTGTTTGTTTGCTTAACTTCCTGAGGGCAGCGTTCACTGGAGTTGAAGCCTGCCACATGGGTCCATTTGCAGAAAGATGGTTGAGCTTTAGGAACGCTCAAGCTTTATTGTAAGAGGCAGGAAAACGACTTGCCTTCTCCTGGGTTTGAATCAGTTCTGAGGGTAGAAATAGAGGTGTGGTGTAATCTGTCTGACACATTTTGTGTTAGGGATAGCCAACATGGTATTCCCCAGATGTTGTTGGGGGATGTCTTTGGCCCCATGGAGCCTTCAGTGTGGGGTTCCTCAGGGTTCAGTTTTATCCCCTATGTTTAGCATCTACATGAAACCACTGAGTGGGTTCATCTGGAATTTTGGAGTTGCTGACTACAGGTGAAAATGTTTCTCTATTACCACACCTTTGGCTGATTGAACATTGTATGTCTTTTTAAATGTGTTTGTGGGAGAGGAGTTATTTTTGTTCTGTTCTGTTCTTGTATTACGTATTTTACGTTCTCATTTTGTATTTTTATGCTGTGAACCGCCTTTGCTCTTTGGTGAAGTTATACAAATTTAATTAACAACAACAATAATTTTGTATATGGTAATCATCCCATTTAATCTCCGCATCACCACCAAAAACCCCCGAAAACCCTAAAGAATTTAGGTTGCTGTTGCTGGGTTTTTCTCCCTCCCCCTTTAAAAAAAACTTTTTTATTGACTATTGTTGGGTTTTTCACCCCAGCACAAATGCTTTGCATCCCCAAGTTAACTAAATATCTCATTTCAACTCATCTGCTTGTTCGTGTGTGTGTGGTTTGCAAAACTCTCTTATGTCTCATTTCCCCCTAGATATTTTGGCTCCTGGAGAAAGTACGTGGGTTGCTTTTCATTTCCCCCAAAGCTGAGAGTTGCGTTTTTGAAAAGCGGAAAGCAGGGTGCCTGACTGCTGAGAAATAAAATAGGACGGATACAAAGGCCCACAGCCTCCCCCACCCCACGCCTTGTCACATGTCACCAGTGGCATTTGAACATCAGGCCACCCACCTCCGGGGCAGCAAAGAAATGTTCGGTGTGTAAGCTTCCCAGGAGGAGACTGTCATTAGCTCAGTGTGTCATTGCCCTACTGTAACAAAGTGGGTGGGAGGCAAGAGAGGGGTGCTAATAAATCACCTGTCAAAAGATGAGGGACTTTTCCTAAAGAGGTTACCTTCCTTTCGTTTTGGTGGAACTGGACTTTTGACTGCGCTGATCCATGCCTTTATGCTGCATATAGCCCCCCATTGTGAGGGTTTTTGTTTCTGCTTTCTTATTTAAACCGTTTATGAGAAAATAAAAGGTTTTTTTAAAAACAAAACAAAACACACCAAACAACCGAGTAGCAAAACTATTGTCAGATTGGATTCAGCCTTAGTCATCATATTCAGGGTGCATTCAGACATGGGGAATATTGCATTAGTTTTCCTGATTATAATGCCAGCACTTTTGTCTTGTTTTCAAAAGTTCCTTCCACACTGTGCTGCTACCTGTGGTGTTATGGAATTGTGGCTTTTTTACTGGTATCACATCGTGCTGAATTCAGTTCATACCAATGGGCCTAGTGTCATTGGACAATGTCACTACTGCTGTTCCCCCGCAATTCTCTCATGAAAACAGCAGGAAAGAGCTGTATACCGCCTCAAATTTTGTCACTTAGCTCCCATGATTTTCTGGGTTTAGTGGGCTGCAAACCCTCCCCCTCCCCCCCCCGGAATCATATAACACAGAAAGGAGTGTTAAGCATGCACTATATGCCATTAGTTTTCCAGACATGGCTCAAATATAACATGGATATTAACATTTAGGGGGAAAGGAATGAACTGCCTTTAATGCTGTCTTAATTTAAATTAGTGCAACTAATTAAATCCCATTGATTTCAGTGAGCATTCTCTAATCACGACTATTTTTCCTGTGTTCAAAAAATAAATGTAAAAGAAAGCATTGAAAGATAGCTGCACATGAGTGGGTAGCCTTTCTGTACTGAATTGGAAAATCTATCACTTCCATCAAAAAGTCACCTATATTGAGAATTTTGTAAATGCACGTTGATGCACATAGGAATAATTAGTTGATTAACCAGATGAACTTTTTTAGCTCACAGCTGATGTTCTGACTGTTTTTTTATTCTGTTGCCTCTCTACCAATTGTCATTTGCATGAAAAACACAATAAAAAATAGAACTAGATCACATTTAAAATGTACATCTGATTCTGAGCCTCGATCCCCCTACATTGTTCTTTATCTTTTGCCATGTGAACTTGGTCTTCAAGATATAAGTTACTTCCTTCACTGCTACGAGCTTCTTGTCTTTTATTTCCTGTTGGTCTCCCATTAACCAAGTGGGGCACACATGCAATCTTTGAAGATGTGCTTGTATCAACTTGCTATATTCCCACACCTCCAACGATTTTTCATCTCATTGCAATGCTCATTGGACACAGCCCTCGCATTGTCTGAGGCCATCTGTTTAGCATTTGAAACCAGAACCGCCTGAGATTTGCCTCTGACGCCCCGTTAGTACTGTGTTATGCTACACCAGAAGCTTTCGCTGTCCAGTTTCTTCCCACCTCATTTCTTTTCCTTTATCCAGCAAGAAGTGGTGGACTGCAGAGTTAGGTGACTGTGATGCAGGGATAGTAACGTTGTGTTGCATGATATTTTAGGAAGTAGCATATGCGCATCTAACCAAACCCAAAGCCAAGAGGATGGGGCCATGCTATTCTATGCATCTCATCTCCACTTTCCTTTAGAGCAGCCTTTCTCAACCTGTGGGTCCCCAGATGTTGTTGAACTACAACTTCCATCACCCCTAGCTAGCAAGGCCAGAGCTCAGGGATGATGGGAGTTGTAGTCCAACAACATCTGGGGACCCACAGGTTGAGAACCACTGCTTTAGAGAAACAAAGTTACTCTAGGGTGCATACAATGATGGGGCTATAGAATGGATGAATTTGTGAGAGTTAATTCACAAGTCAAATGACTTGCTTGATGAGCTGTAGTACATCTGAAGTCTTCACATAAAGCTTTGATTCAGGAGTAGTGGACATGATGCCCTCTGGATGTTGTTTGTTTGCAACCACCATCATCCCTGGCCCCTGGCTATGATGGTTGGGGCTGATGGGACTTGGAGTTCAATGGGACCGGACATCCAATATGCCTTATTTCATCTGCTCACCACACCGATTCATTGGATGAAGTAGATTCCTTCAAACTGTTGATGGCTTTTTTCACCCTTAAGTTAAAAGATTGCCCTAGGTAAGTCATACTCAGAGGAAATCCACTGAGTCTGCTCTTCTCAGTCTTCAGATACAAATGAAGACGGCCGTGTTTCTCCAGTTAGGTGAATTGATTCATAATAAAAAGGATTCTCACAGTGACCAACCAGATGCCCATGGGAAGCACAATAGCAGGACTTGAGTGCAACAGCACTCTCCCTTCCTGTAGTTTCCAGCAACCTCAGAAGTACGCTGTGAAAGCAGAGTATTGCCATCATGGCTTGTAGCTATTGATGGCTGCCTAAGCCATGAATTTGTCAAATCCTCTTTTCAATCCATCTAAGTTGGTGGCCATTGCTACCTCTGGTGGGAATGAATTCCATAGTTTAACTATGTGCCGTGTGAAGAACGACTTTCTTTTGTCTGTCCCAAATCTTCCAACATATAGCTTCCTCGGATGTCCACGAGCTCTAATGATTAATGATTATAAGCAGAGTGGAGCTGTCCAGATGATAGGATTTAGCTGCCCATTCCTCATGTCAGTTTATGTCCTTGAAGAATGGTGTGCTTTCACATTACTTCACTTCGTTTCCTTCTGGCTGTATGGTGAACATCTAATAAAGCCTGGCATTTCCTCAACAGAGTTAATAACACATACGATTGTAAAAACGTCACTTAAATATTGTAGTTTGTTCTGTCTCTGAAGTGCATCTTTGAAGAAGCTTGGATGGAACAGAATGAATTTCATTCCCTGGAGAGCGATATACTGTAGCACAACTATATACGATAGCTACTGGCTCACTGAAAAGTTATAGACTTTCATATTTGTACGGTTCTTACGAAGACATAAAATCCTGAGCTGGGAAGTATTAGAGTAATAACATCTGGCAACCAAGAATAACCATCTGATAATTCCTGGGAAGTCAGGCTTCAGTGCAGCAAATGGATGGCTATCAGGCATCATCTGATAACAATAGCTTGATTGTCAGAGGTTGTTTTATAATTCACGCCCCTGAAAAAGACTAAGGGGAGGATTGTGCTTATTCCAGTAGGCAAAGAAAACTCTGTCCAAGCCAGACAAATTCATTGTGCCATTTTTTATTTTTTTTAAAAAGCAGAGACATTTAATCTGCATTTATGTTTGCTACGAGACAATCTGTGCTCAGGCCAGAAAAGGATTTTCTGGTTTACTAGGGGTTCCCTCTTCCTTTTTTTCACTCAAAGATGGACGTGTGTTGCCAGACTGTTCTGAAATGACAGATTGCCGTAAAATCTTTAGCTGTCTCTAGGAACTTGGTTTCTGTCCACCGAAGTGCAATGTCTGGGTCGTCATGATTTCAGACACTCCTAAGATTGAAAGAGGAAGAAGAGGAGCCCTGCTGCATCCGGCCAAAAGCCCATTAAGTCCACAGTCCTTGTATCATAGTGGCCAGCCATATGACTTTTAATTATTTTCTTCTTCTTCATGGAACACTAGGCTTCAATGCAGATGTGATATTGAATCCAATACAGTAGACGTCCATGCTAGTGTGATGTTGGATCCATTTTGTATTGGCTGCCACAGGGCAATGACTGCCTAGAGCAGAAATGGGCTGGATGAGGGCCAACAAGCTGAAACGAAATCCTGACTTGACACAGGTGGTGTGGGTTGATGGTTTTCTGCCCCAGGAATTGTCTAGGTGGCCTGGCTGAAGGAACAGGTACGTGGTCTGGTTGTACTCCTTGATCCAGGTTTCACACTAGAGGCCCAAGTGGTGTCAGTGACATGGATTGCTTTTTCCAGCTCTGGTTGGTTTGCCCATGCCCATCAGATTCTGAATAGACATAGCCTAGTCATAGTTATTCATGCTCTGGTAGCCTCCCCATTAGATTACTGTAATCTTCTCCACATGGGGCTGCCCTTGAAAGTGGTCCACAAGCTGAAGCTGGTGCAGAATATAGCTCCCAGAGTTTTGACTAGTTCAGTCACTCAAGCAATGTAAGCAGTTTTGAAGAACTTGCCCTGGCTGCCTATATGCTGCCAGGCCCAATACACGGTTTTACTGCTGACATATAAAGCCCTAAATGACTTAGGCACTTACCTGAAGGAGTGCTTCTCCACATATTATCTTACCTGGGCTTTAAGATATGTCAAGAAAACTATTCAGTGAGTGCAGCCCATGATTTATTGACTCAATCCAGGGCCTTTTGAGTGGTGGCACCCAAACTGTGGAATGCCCTCTACCTTGAACATGGTTCAGCTTTCAATGCCAGTCTCATCTCTTCCTCTCCAGGCTTTTGGTGGAGCAGAAGGCTGATTTGGCTGGGTCAGTGATCTTCATACTGAGAAGGAGCAAGCTTGTGGGAAGATCTGCATGGTATTTAAACTTCATATTGATTCATCCCCTGAAGGACCAGGTGCGCAGCCTGGGGGTCATTCTCAACTCACAGCTGTCAATGGAGGCACAGGTCAATTCTGTGTCCACGACGGCTGTCTACCAGTTCCACTTGGTATGCTGGCTGACACCTTACCTGCCTGCGTCCTGCCTCACCAGAGTAGTACATGTGCTGGTTATCTCCCTCTTGGACTATTGCAATGTGCTCTACGTGGGGCTACCTTTGAAGGTGACTTGGAAACTACAACTAATCCAGAATGTGGCTGCCAGACTGGTGACTGGGAGCAGCTGCTGGGATCATATAACACCAGTCCTAAAGGATCTACACAGGCTCCTAGTGCGTACGTTTCCAAGCACAATTTAAAGTGTTGGTGCTTTACAGGACACAGTGTATTATATTCAATAAATGCCACTCCTGGAGGCATGGAACTAATCTTCATAAGGCCCTAGGCAGATACTAATATGAACCGTTATGCAATGAGACTTCTTCTACTGCTGCACATATTTGGGGAAGCTTTTGTTTTAAATCTAATCTGCCTTTTCAGTTGCCCTTTAACAACATGTCTGGCCAAGGGCAGATTGCTAAAAACAAGGAATCTGTTTACCATCGTTCAGGAGCATTTCAATCTACTGATAAAGATCAGGACAGTTCCAGAAAGGCCTTGTTGAAACGACTGCGGCACGTGATGATTTTCGAGGAGTATGTAATTAAATTCCACTAAGTGGTAAAATATTATTCAGGGCAGTTGACCAATGTGTTGCATATCTTTCAGAATGTCAAGTGTTTTCTCTGAGCTGCCTCCCTTACAGTGATGAATTACTTGATCTATCATCCTGGGCTTGTCGGCCTCAGATCCTCGTGTAGTGCAGACAGACGAGGCATGTAATTTCATTCCTGCTTGTTCCATACACTTTTCCTTGGTCTGTTGGCGAAAGCCCTCTGGTGCCAGGTCTCACATTTCAGCTGTTGCCCATTTATCTTACTCGGGTGCAAATTGTTCAATATCCTTTCATTTTTTCGGAACTAGACTGAAATGCAGACATTATCGCTCTCTCTTTCTCTGTGGGGGGAAACAATCCTCTGGAGTCCTCCTTCTGATACGTCAAATGCTGCATGTGCCTTAAAAGGGCTCTGTGGCTTCTCTTGTGCATTAGAGAAGTTTGGGGCTAGCACCCCCTGTGAGGAAAGCTGATGAACTGCTGTTGCCTAGAGAGCTGAAGTGCCGGCCAACCTGAGGCCATCAGGGTCAGTTACCTGAGAGGTTCGTCATGGATATGGCTGCATTGATAGATGTTGTGGAGTGGACAGCTCAGGCAGCAGACTCCTTCCTGAAGTGGTCATGAGGTCCAAATCTCTTCTCTTGCAAAGATAGAGGCAGCAAATGCAGAGCAGGAAGAGGTGGCAATAGTTTTACCTGCTCTGCAGTTGTTCTGGCTGCTTCTCTTCTCCTGTCTGCTGGGACTCCAGCAGGAGTCTTATCATGTCCACTTTGCATAAAGTATCCTTGAATGTCAGTTGCAGCCTAAGAGAATTAAGAACGTAAGATTGGGGAGGGGGCACTTAGGATGCCATGTCTGAAACCCCACCCCCAAATCTGAAGCCAGCAACTGCACGAGGGCCCATGTTTCTTCCCCTTGAAATAACAGCTTGCCTTGCTTGGTGAATGGCAAAGAAAATTCGGCAGAGCTATTTAGCATGTGGGAGATTATTTAAAGCTGCACTCTGTGAACAGTGTCACAGAACGGCAGAACCATCTATGCTAATTTGCAAATCTAGTATGAATATCCAGCGCTTTGCTTCTCAGCCAGTATCTCCCTTTTTGGCTGCAGCAATGGAAGTGGATTGCAGAGGCGCTGGATCAAAAGCAGGGGGTGGAAATCTACAGCAAGACTTACAGATGTTTCAACAATAGGCCTTTCCTGTCCAACTTGCTTCCTTTCATCTCATTCTCCAGTCAAATTGTAAAATTCCTTCGCTTTATATTATGTTACTGCCAAATGTTTCCCTGTTAATTGGGAAGGAGTGGTCTATTTTGGGGAGGGGAAAGGGTTTGAAAACCTAGCCGTGTGAGTAGGAACTTCGAAAGCTGCCTTAAAATGAGCCAGACCATTGGCCCATCTAGTTCAGTGCCAGTAGCAGCTCTCTGAGGTTTCAGGCTCCCTCAGCTCTTCTTGCAGATGGTGGAGATTGAACCTGGGATGTTTTGCATGCAAGACAGATGCTCTACCATTGAGCCACGGCCCTTCGATGACCTAGCTTTTCTCTATCTCTGTGAACTTAAGAGTCTTAGGGCCAAACCAGCCAACTCACTTGAGAGTGTGGCACCAAAACAGAACGCTCCAGGAACCAATCAGAAGCCAGGATGGCTTCTGTAATTCCATGATGTCCTGAGAAAATCAGGGATGGAAAGAAGAAAGAGCTCCATTGAAAGAAGAATGGATAATGAAGATGATGGACTATGTGGAGATGTCAAGGCTGACTGGGAAGATCAGGCACCAAGAGGATAACAAATTCAATAGAGAATGGCATAACTTTATAGAATATATTAAAGAACAGTGTAAAAATCTAAAAATGTTAGCAGGATTGACATAGCACTTGTAATTTAAAACAACAAAGAATAAAAATGAAGTATAATAATTTGGATAAATGCAATTAGATGCAGTTAAAAAAGGAAGATAAATTTTGGAAGCCAAGAGAGGGATGGGTGGGGGAAGTCTGGGGGTTCAGGGAACCCCATAAAGGTACTGGTATGGACTATGGTTTAATGTAAACAAGTGTGTGTGTGTGTATGTGTGTAAAAAAATGTTTTTTTCTTTTTGAAACTTTGAATATATATATATATTTTTAAGAGAGAAAATCAGGACTGTTGGGTGAGTGGGTATATGTGTATGTTAAAAAACTAATGATCATCAACAACCAATTCTTTAAATGTATTAGTATCAGGAGACCCTCCAGAGAGCTAGGTGGACCCTTGGATTACAAGGGAGCCAAAAGTTGCTAAAGGAGGATAAGGAGATGGCAGGGATATTGAACTATTCTTATTCTTATTCTGCATCTGACTTTAGAGCAGAAAATAAAGGCCAGAGCCCTGGACCTGAATTAACTTTTGCAGGAATGGAGTCTGAGAAACTAAGGCAAATGCTGGTCATGAGAAACAAATTTCTAGGCCTAATGAGACAAAATAAAAACTGACAAATCTCTGGATCCAGATGGTATCCAGCTGAGAGATCTCAAAGAACTCAAAAGTGAAATTGGGACCTGTGCTTTTTAACTTGTTCATAAATGTTATACAGTTAAAGACAAGCCATGAGGTGGCCAAGTTTGCTGATGATACTGAATTGTTCAGGGTCATTAAGAAGTTGGCCCCACACCACAAAGAAGATCTCTAAATTGGGCTGAAGGCTCATCTCAGAATCATTACTTTCGGGTCTGGAATACCGTTCAGTGTGGCACTAGTTCCATTCATTTTGTGATGGCCCAGTTCAACACATGGGTGCCTTTCCATATTGGTGCAAGCTGACACTGGGAATATGTTGTACTAGCACCATGGAAAGAAAATAATAATTGATGGATTCTTCACTGTAAAGGGGATTATTGAAAGGGAAAAAATAGTACATGGAGAAAGCAAACAAAGAACTGGTATTTACCTAATGTCTTGGAACAGTTTGACCTTACACAAAACCCAGGGGCATTTAAAACAAACTAAAGGGAAGTGTTTAATTCACTGTTAATAATTGACCTATGAAACAAGGCGTTGTACAAAGCTGTGTAGATCATGAGCGTACGAAGAGTGAATGAATGCATGAAGGATGGGAGTGGAAAGCCAAGGCAGTTAGACTGAATTAAATATTATGCTCAGCATGAAATATAATATCAAAACAGACCCCCATCCCCTATTGCCCACTGCCACTTCTAGGATTTGAACTGGAATCCTTCAGACCTGCATACGGCTGTCCTAAGCTTTCTTCCAGTGACATCTGGAAGCAAGGATCACCTGGAATGTGCATGAAATGATGGAATTAAAAATGGATAACACTGATTTCCTAATATAAGAAGTGATTAATAATAATAATAATAATAATAATAATAATAATAATAATTGGGGGCTGGCTTTCTGGTGCAGTATGCAATGTATTCTAAATATACATACATGCAAATACCAGGATACTCAAATGATTGATTGAGAAGAATGGGTGATGGTAATGCAGAAGATGTAGTGACTGTATCCTTTTCCTGGACTATATATGTACACAATTCTTTCCTAAGTGCTTTGATGAAACAACTGAGCCACAGCATGACTAGAAGTCTTGTTTTCTAAATGATCAATATCGTTCTTACAAAAAATGACCGGCTTAAGGCTGAAAACGCGACGAGATTGGTTTTCGTGTACCTGCCATTCTATATCTTATTGACCTCCAAAGAGTGAAAGAAATTGCCTTTCCACCTGAACAGAAGATTACCTTTCTTTTCTTGAGGAGTCCCCCACCCCACCCCTATTTTCTGGAGAGGGAAAAATCTATCTCAGGTTCATAGGCTTAATGCTTGGCTGAGCCACAGAGTTCCATTTCCTGCCCATTTCATTGCTCAGAGTAACAAAAGTCTTCTCTTTCTGTTCTTTGAAGTGGAAAAGCTGAGTAACTGGTCCCTTTGATTATAAAGAAAACCCCCATTGTCCCCTATTTTTATTACTTATGGCTAACTACATTACAGAGGACTTTGTCACTGGCTTATATTACTGCTTTTTCCCCTCCTGAGTTAGCTGCAGAGACCAGAGAGACACTCAGTTCAGCTGCCTACCCAGAGTGTATATTTACATTGACACCCCCCACCCCTCACTTTTGAGTGCAGAATGTAAGTAGCATCTTACTGTATGCTTCCCAGCTTATTGAGTGTATTCACATGAACACTCTTTTACTGATAGACTGGTAGAATAGGGGTATGGGGAACGCTATAAAAGGTAAAGGTAAAGGGACCCTTGACCATTAGGTCCAGTCGTGACCGACTCTGGGGTTGCGGCACTCATCTCGCTTTATTGGCCGAGGGAGCCGGTGGCCAGCATGACTAAGCCGCTTCTGGCAAACCAGAGCAGCACACAGAAACACCGTTTACCTTCCCACCAGAGTGGTACCTATTTATCTACTTGCACTTTGACGTGCTTTCAAACTGCTAGGTTGGCAGGAACAGGGACTGAGCAACGGGACCTCACCCCGGCGTGGGGATTTGTACCGCCGACCTTCTGATCGGCAAGTCCTAGGCTCTGTGGTTTAACCCACAGCGCCACTCGCATCCCTTTGCACCTGGGAACGCTATGCCCAGGTGCAAACTTCTCTACCTGGCCAATGGGACTATCCCCAAGCCACACACCGCTTTCCCGCAGGCCTTACCACTCTCTGTTTCCACTTTCTACCCTCCTTGAGGGTTTTTGCCTGGAGTTGGAATGTGGTTTTGAACTCTGGTGATGCCTGTTGCTTGTCTGGATGGAGTGTATGTAGAAACTACCCTACTGTGCAGATTTAAGTTGTCAATTATATTTTATTAAGTTTCAACATTTTAAACATATACAGCCAAAACACAAATTCGTCTTTTCTCTTATTTTTTGTCAACTTCCCACCTCCCTTTTATGGAGTTGTTGTTTCTCACTTTCTGCTGCACCCTATCTTCTATCAAATCATAACCACAATATAGTGGAACCTCGGTTGTCAAACATAATCTGTTCTGGAAGACCGTTCAACTTCCAAAACGTTTGACAACCGAGGCGCAATTGCCGGTCGGCAAAATCCATTGAAAAAATGCAGAAACGTGCCTCAGAAACTGTTCAACTTCTGAGGCACATTTCAAAATGGAAGCATTCACTTCTGGGTTGTCAACGTTTGAAAGCTGAAATGTTTGACTTCCGAAGCATTCAACAACCAAGGTTCCACTGTACTATAATCTAAGTACTTCTGCTGCTCATAGCTCAATTCCTGCTCACGAGTTCATCATACAGTCATACCTTGAGTTGAATGTGCTTCGGGTTGAGTGCGTTCGAGTTGCGCTCCGCGGCAACCCGGAAGTAACGGAGCGTGTTACTTCCGGGTTTTGCAGATGCTCAAAATGACATCACGTGCATGTGCGGAAGCGGTGAAACGTGACCCGTGCATGCACAGACGCGCCGTCGCGTCTTACGTTCCATTCAGGATGCGAACGGGGCTCCGGAACAGATCCCGTTTGCATCCCGAGGTACCACTGTACTATAATATTTCTTCAAGTAGTCCAGAAAAGTCATCCATTCTTCCATAAAACGCTCGTCATTAGATTCTCTTAATTTTGCCAGTTCTGCGTACTCCATTATCTTACTTATCCATTCTTCTTTGGTTGGAACTTCTTTCTTTCATTTCTGCACATATAGAATCTTAGCTGTTGTTGTTACATACATAAACGTTAATATGCCTTATTTACTCGAATCTAACGCTCACCTTTTTTGGCCAAATTACGTTGTGAAAATTAAGGTGCACATTAGATTCAATTGCACATATACATTTGCCAGCAAATACTTTTTTTGGTTTCAAGGTTCTGAAAATTGAGGTGCGCATTAGATTCGATGGTACATTAGACTCGAGTAAATACAGCATTGGGGGGGGGGGAGATTTCAGATTAAGTTTATCTATTGCTGCTTTGCCCACTTTTGCCTCTGCCTCTGCCCCAATCCCACCACCACCATCTGGCCCCTGGAAGGCTGTCCAGGAGGGAATACGGCCCTCTGGCCAGAAATGTTACTCACTCTAGATGCGCTTCCATTGTTTTATGGTTCTTTCCTGGCCAGTGAACATAAGTAAAATCCTATTGGATCAGACCAAAGGCTTGTGTAGTCTAGAATCCTGTTTCTGACAAGGGCCAAGCAGATGTTTACGGGAAGCCCCACAAGCAGGACATGAAGGCAAAAACACTCTTCCTACATGTGGTCTCCAGCAACAGGAACTTGGACATGTGCCACCTCTGGAGGCAGCATATTACTATGTCTAGCATCCATTGATAGACTCCATGAATTGGTCTACCCTTAAACTTTATTTAAGTTTATTGCTAGAAAATTCAGTTTTGGGGGTACTTAAAGAAACAACACAAGTGTTTCAGGAGTAGAACATAAGGACTGCGGTTGCTTATATTCCCAAATTCAGCACAAAGGAATAGAAGAGAGGCACTACTGGGAAAATGTGGATATTGGGCAAAATTGTATACAAATTTGTACTAAAATGCTGGTGCAT